AATTTTGGGTCCCTCTTGATCCAAGGCCCTCAGCGATCTCCCTTGAAGCCCAGGCCGAAGGCCGGCCTGTATAGCGAACTTTTTTCCTTTGTGGTTGTATTAGAGTGATTTTGGAGTAGTTTTGAGGGAGGGTTTGAAGGTTGAAAGTTGAAGATGGCGACTTTTCTCCGTGCGTACAAGAACCCATGAAGTCACCGAGTGATAGCAACAACTTCCATGCAGTGATAAACAAAAACAGAAAAGCAAACAGAAAAGAAGGAAAAGTAGTCACCCCAATTAAAGAATACAAATTTATAAATAAACTCAATCCTAGACATGTATTTATAAAAAAACCCAAGCACTATTTAAACATAGAAATACACCCAAAATTAATCCCAAAATCAACAATTGTATATTTTTTGGGTGTGTTTATAAATGGGTTTTGAATGTGTGTAATGATGAGTTTTGGGTGTGTTTATAAAGTGTTTTGGGTGTTTGAGTTTTTTTATAATTTCAGCCCCCATTTTGGGTGTTTTAATGAAACTCCCATTAAAGAAATAGTGAATCAGATTCTAAATCTCAAATTTATATTTTAATTTGATTTATCAAAAACAGCATTTTGTTTTTGCACGCTGAGAAAAGAATAGAAAAGCTACACAACCAAGAAGCCATGCAACAAAGTTGGCCACGCGATGTATGAAAAAGTAACATGAAATTAAATCAACAATATTTTTGTTCTTTCTTTTCGATTAACCATCTGTATATATTATAATCCGAACGGCAGAGAGAGAATAAACTCAACTTTAACAATTATGTAAGGACCTTTATTTTTTTGGATCAAATTATGTAAGCACCTTGAGAGAAAAAAAAACAAAACTGTGCCTAAAATAAGTATAAGAAAGATCATTTGTAGTTTTAGAGCTCCAACTTGATTTCTGGGCTTTGAACATCTCTGCATTCGAGAACCTTCTTTGGGATGTTGCTTGCAATCAGAGCCCCTCCATTATAACCATCCATTAACAACTTTCCTATTTTTGATCTCCACTCCGAGCTATCAGTTTCATTCTTCCTGTCATGAACAACTCTGTCACAGTACTTGAGCATTGTTCCCAAGCCAGTATTGGGTTCCCAACCATATTCTGTTAGCACCTGAGCCTCGCCTTCACTCAAGTCTTCTCCAACCTTAACCAGTCAATAACACGAAAGAGATACAGTTAAAACCAAAAAATATATTTCAGCTTGTAAAATGACGTAAAAATTACCTAAAATGATTAGAGCTCTATTCATCCAGATGAACCATGCTTACAGCAGAATCCAACTGATATTATCAAAACCAAAATTCTCACCACATACCCACAAAGAATTGACAGCAAAAGGCAAAAAATAAAATCGGCCAAAAAGCATATAGCTCATAAAATAACAGCAATAACATGTAGCAATACCAAGTAGCATAGCACAAAACTTTATGTAACCAAGTTTTGAGCTCTAATCAGCTTTTATAATAGCTAAATTTTAGAACTAATCCCAGTAGCGATTTCAACAGCTTCCTCCAAGAAACTACTGGGCGTGCACCTGTATTAGCATTTATCACCCAATACAAATCTGAAGTCATTATAAGCATTATAACTGTTTGTATTAAAGTATACTACAACCTTGCACCTCTCAGCAGTATAATGTTATTTTTAAATATAAAATCTAGTAAAATAAAATAAAAGTTCTTTGAGTCTCATAATACAGCCCAACTGTTCGGAATTTTGGACTCCAATTTCTAGTCTAAGATCACATCATAATTTCAGAGTGTAGATACAGAGAAAACTGCACATAAACTACACAAGGTTTAACACGGTTCCACCATAATCGGGGCTACATTCATGGGCTGTAATCACAATACACTAATGAAAAAAACAATATTACAATTAACACAAGATAGCCTCTTTTGATCACTCAATCTTAGGTAACCTCACTCCTCTCAAACCTCTTCTTCAGAGCTTCAGAGAACCCCAATTACCCCCTTGAAAACTCACAAAAACTGAAACTCGCGTAAATTTCCTTCTTAACTCTTGAAACCCTAAATAGATAAACTCTCAAAAGCCTGAACAATGATCACATAATGAGGCTAAATCACTTAGAAAAACCTATGTAAAGCCTCACCAAAACCCTAACACCAATTTTGGAAACATCCTACATTCCTAATCTGACTATGAGGAGATTGGAGCAAAACGGATGAAGAATGTGTCAAAAGACAAAACTCTGGAAATCGACACCAAACTCAAACCCAAGCATTTCATGCTCGAGCTGCTGCAATATCTTAAAAAACTTCTCTCAACACTCGCTTTCAATCCTGCTGCAATATATTTCCCCTCTGGACACTAGAGGGTCCTCCCTGATGCTTAAGCATTGATTCCAAAACCTACATTCCCACCTCGCATTTCTAGATCCTACTCCAAGACCAACCAATGACAGAAGATAGGTTTCCCACACAACAGGAACAACAATTGATGGTCTGAACAACCAACCTCCCAAAACAGAACCCCAACTGAGTTAACATTCTCCAGAAACCCATCACATATTTGACAGTTTAGACTTGAAATCCCAACCTTTGAACCCAAAGTATTTGTTATGATTACATTTCACATGACTTTATGTCCCAGCTCATCCAACAAGGTTTCTTGTAGGGCTTTAACTTCTCTTCTACCCCAAAGCAGAATGGTGAAGCTGAATGTATGTTGTTCGTCAGCTCTTGAGCGGTATGCAGATTCCTGTGTCTTACTTGTATATGGTTTCTTACAGTGTTGCCTACCTCATTAATCACACTTGTATCCTACAAGGTAAATCCCCTTTCCAAGTCTTTCAATCCAATTTAGAAGCTTTTTGTGTCTACAAAAGAGACGGTGTGGGCCCTACAAGGATGTCCCTCAAATAAGCTTATTAGAGGGATCTCTCAACGGAAGCTCTGTGTGTATATATATATATACACAGAGAGAGAGAGAGAGAGAGAGAGAGAGAGAGAGAGAGAGAGAGAGAGAGAGAGATAGAGAGTAAAAATGCAATGGAAGTGGCAAAACTTTAAAAACACCTTGAAATGGACAAATGGATAGTAAGGTCAATGCTTCGTTTATTATATGTACCACCGCATGAGAAAGGGGTGAAGTCAAAAGATTCTCAAACAATAAAGTTCAAAGTGTTGCGAAACAATCACCCGAGGAAAATCCTTCAGGTGGTTTCTACCAAATTGCTATATATATAAACCAGCGAGTAACAGGTTCGTCCAAATGATTGTTAGACAACCCACATGCCTAACAGGCTAAGTTTACATATACCATGATTTAAATGTTCTATACCACAAAACAGCAAATGCTTGCAATAAGTGTACAAGGTTAAACAAACTAATTTTCAAGCATTGTAAGACAGCCTCAATGACTGGCGACATTAATATGACAGTTGTGAATCAATTTAACAAGTGTGCCATTGATTGAACCATATACACAAGCAATCACCTCATATATGTTTTCAAATAATTACCAATAATGCCTTGTTCTCAATTAGGGAAATCCTGCTGCAGCTGGTAAGCTTCATTGCAGTCACCAGCCTCTTGATCTGCCAGTCAATTGGTAAGGAATCCACTAGCTCAAAGAAATATGTTGCATATCCATATTCAGGTCGTTCCAGCACAATTCTGCAGTCAAGTGATAATGAAATGTCAAAAATATCCAGTCTAAGTAGAGAAGATGGACCAACCTTCAGAAAAAAAATTCTACAAATCATGCACCTATTATGTCTCGCAAAGACAAATATAAATGATTGAAGGTCTCGGCACCAACCCCATTCAACAGGCCAATTTCTAAACTGCAGATATCGGGTCTGTAAAATAATAAAATAAAATAGGATTTATTGTAAACAGAAAGATAGCTTGTAAGAAGATATAGGCAGAAGGTAACTGAATTGATTAACTTAGTGTCATGCTTTGCTCACCAATTGATCATAAAAACCAATTACCTGCTCCACAAGTGAAATTAAACAAGCCAAGCAATAACTAGCTCTTGAGCCCTTTGTGCATCGAATTGGAGCAAGCTTTAAAATCGATTGCCGTTGTGATAAAAGCTGTCCAAAATGAAGAAGGTAACACTAGAAACACACTAATGCAAATGGGGTGCCACATTAAATTGTTCAATGCAATTTAAATACAGCTTCAGGAATTTTAGAGCTTTCTCGTCAGGAGCAAACTGGTTAACTTCCAGGAATTGGCCAGCCATATATTACTCAAAACAGAATCTTCACTCATGAAATTCAGTATTTTCTTGTTAAGAAGAAACAATCATTTTTATTACTCAACAAAATCAAATTACATAGCAGTGGACCAGGAATCTACGAGAAAAAGGGAAACAAACAATACAACAATTTCCAGTACCCAAATAACCCCACTCCAAACTTATCTAGCGTACTGCAGCTTTTCAATCTTAGAAGAATAGCAGAAAGGGAGCTATCCATGAACTCTGTCAACATGGACGCCCATGGAAAAGACAAAAAGCTGAGGTTATTCAAAGCTCATCCACCCAAACACCACTCAAATCTTCAAAAATTCACCTATGCCTGTCCATCCAAACAACCCAAAAAATGGCTAAGACCCCACATCCCCATTATGTTTTCACTTTCTTTCATTCCTGATCACTGCAAACTCTCACACATCCAAACCATCCCAAACTTCCTAATCAAGTTCCACCATATTCTTAATAGTGGAGAAAATGATAAGTCGACTCCACACACTCTTTACACACAGCACACCAGAAAGCATGCCCGCTGTCTTCTCTTGTGAAGCATCTCGCTTGTACTTTATATTCATTAATTCAATACAACCAATTATACATTGTCATCATTTAAAAGACACAACATTTTTATAAAAATAAAAAATAAAAAAATAAAAAATAAAAAACACACACACACACACACACACACACACACAAAAAGAAGGTGCCCTCTACCAAGACAAGCCCTTCATGATAACCAAACAAGGAAAGCAAGTTCTTAGGCTTGTCTACAGGATCAACCCCTATAGTAACCAAATCAGAAAATTCATTGTGAAAAACTCTAATAAGATAGTTAATTTTGAAAATAGCCCATCATTTTGACTAGCAACCACATGTATTCCACTTATCTCTGGTCATGTCCTCATCAATTACTTTATTAACTAATTTGTATTCTAAAATGGACCTATTTTCCAACGTCAAAATTATAAAATGAGCCTTTATTCCCCCAGTTAATCACTCATTAATATTCTTTTTCCCAAGAACTACAATCCCTGGCAGTTTCCATATATATTCACAATGTGCAATAGCACATCTGCTATGCCCATAAATAAAAGCAGCAATGTTTTCCAATAGGAGGTACATATTCGATCTTATGTGGAACTCTTATGAATTTGAAATGAACAACCCCCTGCTGAGCAAAATCACCAATAGTGGTGCAGCTAGGGAGCAAATGTTTTCGATATTGATCTTAAGAATGATTTTGAAATTATTCAAAGTGTCATGCTACATGGAAGCCGCAAGAACGATACATGACATTGTTGTAACAAGGCTAAGACAAGTGGAAAATATCATAATATTAGAATTGTTGCAAACCTTTGATATCACAGCTTCAAGCTTTGCAAAGCTGTCTTCACATAAAGACTCGTCTAGAGCTTCATCACACTCCATCTCGCCGTAAAGCCTTATTTCATTAACCAGCACCCCTTTTTCAATTAATACCTGCCAGTTTGCATGTTACGGGTCTTGATCCCAATGAAATTGAAAATGCAACTGTGAGAAACATGGAGTACCTGCAGGAGTCCCGGCGCATCCTCCTCCAACGCTGTTTCAACAGAATCCCTGCAATTAATTTGGAACTTATGTCCTTAAGAAAAGTGGGCCGAAAACTAAGTGGAAAAATATCTACATAAACATCACAGCATACGTGGCAGTCTTCTTCCTTTTTCGTGGACGAATGAGGCTTATTGGCTTAGCAGATTCTGAGGCAATAGTGCTACACTTGGTTGAGCCATAGTTCGTATACATACTCGATTCAGAACCATATCCAGATGACAACAGATTCATCCGATCTCGCAGTGGCATATGATCTACCACATCTTCATTAAGTTCACTGAAAGCTCTAGGTTCATTCTTTACTGGCAGTAGGTTAAGGGAGAAGTTACCCCTAACATTTGTGTCCAGATTGTGCAAGACACCGCCATCGCAAGGCTCATCCTTTACTTTGACAGATGTTGACAAAGTTGAACAATGTGCTCTAGTTGTGCATGTAGGCACATAGTCCTGTCCCCCACATGAACTGAATTCATTGGCATTAGGAGGCATTCTCTCAGATGAGCATTTCCTGTCACTTTCAGATTCTTTTCCGCCATCATTTGACTTATTGGAGTTAATTGAATATCGATCAGTCGTAAATGATGATCCAACTACGATTTTATTTGGCGATCTAATCATAGAATTTCTACAAAGAACTGAATCATTTCTTGCAGGATTGTCATAGAGCGAATGGGTAGCAACTAAAGCTTCTCCACTGACACTACTTGTGTCTCCCTGTCCCTTATCGGCAAGTTGTTGGATAAGGTATTTTGACAGTGGCGCTGGAATACCCTGTATAATACAATGTCAGAAGACGCTTCTACAATAGGAGATAAAATGTTAAAGTATATTATACTCAATTTTCTCTTTTGAAGAACTTTATGAGAAGAAGAGATTCAAGAGTTTGCTGCACAATAATTACAACTTTGGAGAGTATTCAGGTTTTTCAGCACATAATCCAAAAAGGAGGAATTAGAAACTGCATTCATCAGGGGTTCTCTTGTAAGACATTCAATTCTCTGTGTGATAAAATGATTTGGAAATCTAGTTTTCCTCCTAACGTTCGTTTTTGGCATGGATCATTGCTCATGGAAGATCAAACACTGGCAATTTGGTGCAAAGAAGAAGATCGAATGCTGTCTGTCTCCTCAGTGGTACATTTTGTGCAAAAGAAGAGGCAGAATTTGGAACTCACACGTTCTTAAATTGTCCACATGTTTTGAGGGGCTGTGGTGGCAGTTGTGAGGTTGCAGGGGTAGTTGGGTGATTCCTCAATCACCCTCAAAACATTCTTTGTGAGAAGTATATGTCTCTTGGTAGTGGGGATGAATGAAAGAAGTTTTTGGAACTATAATGGGAATGAAGAGGAGAGATCTTGGGAAAAAGTCAGGTTATGGGAATCCTTATGGCTTCTCTGTCTCCAGCCTTTAGGGATCTTTCACTTTCTATAAATTTTCTTCTTAGGTTATGGGCATCGTTTAGCGTTTTGTCAGAGGTTTATGGGAGAAAGACTTACCAATCCCAGTTTATGCGAGAAAAACTTACCTATCCTAGTTTCATAAACCCCTTCTTGTATGAAACCGCCGAATGCAAGTATTCATCGAAATATAGAACTTTTTTTATTTTTTAAATGAGAGTTGTATATTATTGGTGGACCTCTTGTTCACCAAGTCCTGTACTGTGTTTGTATTATTTTCAATAAAATTTTATTTCTCAAACAAAAAAAGAATAGAAAGCAGAGCAACAGATTTTGATTGATTGGCAATAGCCAAATACCGAATTGATCTCACTTTTCAAAAGTGAGTATCCAGGTACCATTTCATATTTCATAGTGTTGAAGGCAAAAGAGTATGGTAAGCTTTGACATTGCCCATTAAGACGGTTATTCCTAAACTTGGGCTACATAGGAGATGAAGAATGTTGCAGCCATAATAGCCACAAGCTTCTCAATAATTAATGCAATCTTAGAATTCTAACAATCACTAGAAGGCTAATAAATCACCTTGAAAACTGCTTTTTCCATCCCCAAGAGTTTCCTGCAAAATGCCATAAAAAACAAACTAATAAATTATTCCCTTTCCTGCAATATGAATTACATAAATAAGTTGGGACATGGATACAACCATGTTGATTCTTGCTGTGCTTTGTTTTATTTACTCTTTGTCATCTAGGTGCTTTACTTTTATTTTCTTTCACTGATTTAATTTTCATGATTGAGGTGATTGATCTCACAACATACACATGTATCACAATTTTTTTCTTCATGTGACTGAACTTTACAATTAAATTCTCAAAGCTTCCTGCATACCCCTCAAAATGAAAGATCGCACCATAACATAATTCAAGGGGTTTTCTTGCCTAACCTTTTAGTGAGCCAACCTTGTGGGTTTTCAACTAAAAGGACTATGCCTTCTTTTTATCTTTATCTTTTTTCTTTTTATCTCTAACTTTTGCTGAAACACCTTTCTCGGGCCTTTGGTCCAACGAGGGTTTTTTTTTCTTTCTCCAAACTCAAACCTTAACAAATGGGTTTTTTAATTTGGAATCCTTGAAGTTGAATCCTTCTAAATTCGAGATTTGTTCTTGATTTGATACACTTCAATTTGATTTGATTCAAAGAAAGACTTAATTTATACTGATGTGGCCTCCTAGGTGTTAGCACATGTCACTTCCTATGACCCACAACTTAGATAAGTAAAGTTTTACTAGTCAAAAGGTCAAACTTTTGAGTTGTTGATCGTTGATCAAATTGCTAGTGAATTTTTTAACTGAAGTTTTGATGTCTGCAATGTGTTTGTGTAGAAGGGATGAACTTGAAAATATATATATATATAAATATATATAAATATATATATTTGTGCCAAGACATAAAAATCATCCAGGAGAAAATGGCACCTTGATTGCAGCATCTTCTGTCGCTCTTTCAAGGAAATGTGGTCCAGAGGATCATAAGTACAGTGATCAGACATCTCCCTTTTCACCTTAACTGATGACACAGGAGAACCGGCAAAACAATCCATACCATCTCCAAAAGAACTCAACAAGCTGCCAGAGGAAGCAGCCTTTTCTTCAGCATGAACTTCTGATAGTGATGGATTTTCAGCTAGTGTTAAAATATTGACATCAATTTTCTCTGGTTGACCAACATTTGTATCAGATTCAGTACAGGCAATCTTCTTTGAGGAAGTTAAAGTATTTACTTCTGTCCCATTGTAGTCACTATCACCAGGCATTTCCGCATTTCGGCTGCAAACAGCATTTTGTAAACATTGATCAAGTGAGGAATCTACCACAGTTTTACTGCACAATAATCCAGGCGTAGTTCCCCTAGGAATTATAGAATACTGATTTTTTTCTTCTTCCAATAATTGAACTCCCACTTCTCGGGCAGCAAAAAGAACAGAGGAAACATCCTACAAAACATACACATATTCTATTAACCGACCCAAAAAGGAAAAAAAAAAAGGCAGAGGGAAGATTGCCAACTCAAACTGCTTGCAATGAAATTATTTCAAATCGTTCTTTTCCTAGCATACTGCTTCCTATTTCATCGAGGCACATCGATATAACTTGACTACTTCTAGTGCCATACAGCAGATTGTTAAAATGTCTGACAAAAACTCTGACAAGGCAAATGCCTCACAAAATTATGTCGTTGCATTTTCTCTTCAAACATAACTATAGGCTGCCTAAGCATGTCATATTGTCCGCTTTGATCATGTAGACCATCTAAAGTGCCTCACCTGTACTTTCAGAGTTTTCGGTACATTCTAATTCCTAGTCAATTATCTTCTCAAGAAAAATCCTCAATAGTTTCTTATTTTCATGGTATATATCCAGTGTCTCACCTATACTTATAGGTACATTCAAATTTCTAATCAATTCTCTTTTCAAGTCAAATCTCTAAGATTTCTCATTGTATAACATTCTTAGCCTTTACCCTTTCTTTGCCAAAGCAAGGCCCACTGTTATGTTACCATGCTGCATGATGAAGCCTGTTGGTCTTCATCTCCGAACGGGCTTTGTTGCTTTCTTGGATTTCATTTCCACCAGATTCTAACTGGATTCTCATCATGTTCGTAATAATGAAGCATAGGTGGATCAAAAAACATAAGGAAAATTAAACCACTCTCCCCTCCAACCAAGACAATTTTTTAAAATCTAGTACCTCCTATATGTTACATATAAACACAAATGTACTTTTCTCCACATTCATCTAGCATTTGCAAGGACTTTGTAAGTTCTGCCAATAAAGATAATTTGCTAAAATCCACTCATATTTCATGCATAACAACTCAGCATTCGCCAGGTGCTTGCGAAGATTCTGTGACTTTTGCCAAATAATTAGGCCATAGCCATGATAACTCCTATAATTTCCAATGACCTAATATTAAATCCTAAAAACTTTGGCATACAATTTCATAGTTGCCTTAATTTCAGATTCCCCAAATAAACTTCAAATATTCATAATCTTCAATGTCACAACAATAAATAAATTCTCTGAAAATTAATATGATATTCACAATCTTCTTTGCACACATTCTTCAAGAAATTGTTCTTCACTAGTTTCCTCATATGGGTCATTATTTTCAACTGCAAGAGGCGTTTTTCACAAGAAGAAAAATTCATGCATCAACCTATCACCCTATTATTCAACCATGACATATCTAGCGAAGGCATTTTGTAAAACATCTTCATAGCCTAAAGACAATCATCAATCGAACACTAAAATAAGGATTTACATAATAAATAACACGCAAACTGTTTACGCTAATGGTTATAGAACTGTCCAATATCAAAAACAGGGCCAAGGCATTTCGTTATTGCCCAACTATATCTCGTCTCTAAATGTTCACGACGAAACTAGATAACACGGAATTTGAAATCACACTACTGAGCTTTAATAAGACAAGGCTTGAAACTTTCACCTCTGTAAGGCTTTAAGAAGTTTCAAACCAATTATTCAAAATTAAAATAATATGAACTATGATAAAAATAAAACGAGGAGATAAACAAATTACTTGTGACTCAGAGAGCTCATCGTCTTCTTTAAGAGCAGCACCAATGAGGGATCTGCATGCATGTCCCAAAGACAAAGCTTCAATCACTAATCCTAATATATTATTGACATGTTTTAAACGGAACAAAAACCTAAAACAAAAACAAAAGAAAAATGAAAAGGAGCTCACTTTGAATTTTGCTTACTGGCCAGTAACAAATCACGCCGTTGTATCAATGGAAGATAATCAAGCTCATCCGACCAACCAACACCATCAATTTTGTACTCAAACTTGGGCAAATATATATTGGAACCACTGGAAGTAGCGGCCATTTTTGTGTGCACCTCTTCTAATTCAGTTCAGGTAATCAATTGCCATAACTTATGGATCAAGTCCCACTTATGGAGAATGTGAGAAGCTCCACTGCTCCGGAACATAGTTGCCTAATTCGCTCAGCGCCATACGAATTTCGATCTGGAACGAAAGATTTAACGACTCAGTTCCAGAAGAGAGAACAGTACCTGATAGACGACGTCGCTGCTACAAAGCAGTACCTGACCGCCGACAGCACACGAGCAATCGAGAGCACATGAGGGAGAGTGCTATAGCTGATGAGCCCACGTTCGATTCTGGGTCTCTTGAAGATATTGGGTTCGGAGAGGATTTTTTCGGACGAATGGATTCCAAGAGATGAGATGCGTGATAAATGGATAGGCGTAAGAGTAGTTCCAGCGGACAGCCCAGCCCAGGCAAAAGGCCCACCAGTCTCCCAAAATCCGGTCAGACTATAATGAGGGGTAAGTTATAAGGGGTTCACTTTATAGTCATTGGATCAATCCAAGGGCTGGGGAGAATTGGGATAAAGTTGTGCAATCGGGTAGGTGAGGAACCCAAACCCGAATTTAATATCCAGCAATGAAGTTGGTCCCAAAAAAAAAAAAAAAAAAGAGGCAAGTTCGAAGTTTGAACAGAAAAAACCCATTGATCTCAAACTCATAGCTCAGAGAAACCGCTAAGCTCTGAGAAACGGTTGAAGGCAACAGGCAATGACGGTTGAAGGCAAAGGTTAACGACGGTTGAAGGCAACTCCACTATCTAAACCGTGAAAAACTATTTATTTTGAGTGGAAGGGGCAAAGGCGTGGATTCTGAAACAGTGAAAAGACGAAGCAGTGGAAGGAGAAGGAGAGAAGCCGTATTCGTTGGAAGTGATAGGTTCCATTTGTGGAGCAAAACCGCACAAAGACCCAACACAGACACCTTGCGATTGTTCAATAACCAGCATTTGGTGAGTAATTTATGGAATTTGAGTTTTGGGTTAGAGTAACCGTTTTCCCCAATTTGTACCATGAATGTTGTTAGATTTGGCATCTCTTCTTTGTGCTTCACTTGCATGTTAATTTTTGCTTGGGTATATGTTAAAAAACGAATGAAAATAAAGTCAATAACATGTCAATAACATGTCAATAATG